CTCAACAAGAATTGTTTAATTTACAAAAATTGATTGTGTCTCATTAATCTTCCTAACACTAACTTATTTTATATTAAGAGGCATGTAACTATGATGTTACCATTAAAAAAAAAAGAACGAAACAAACAAACTATATCTGTTTTAGTGCTGCGGTCCAGAATATCGTTTCAACAACTGGTATGTGTGCGATGGTAAGGAACACCATACTGCCGAGCAGTGGCGTAACAACGGCTTGGCATTGGGGCAGTTGCCAAGGGCGCCGGCCTGTGCCAGTTCAATAGGGTGCCGCTAAATCTCTAATTTTTAAAATTTTTATCAATTTATCAAGGGCGCCAAAAATAAATTATCCAAGGGCGTCAAAACACCCGTTACGCCAATGACTCCCAATGATCGAATTGCACCCCCTATGTGGGGGACGTATGCTCCGCTTCGGGAAACACTGTTATAGGTTAAATCAAGTGAATGTCCTAGATGCTAGACTGCAGAAATGACCACAGTGTGTCTGCTTTTCAATGCACTGTCTACACCTTAGACCAGCCTTGAGACGCTCATATGTTGATCCCTTTGTTTGCCCCTATTCGTATTATGATAAAAAAAAAATTATATTATTCCTTTTATGCTCGACAATCCCATAGAAGGTGAAATTCAATTTTATATAGATTTCTAGAACAAACTACTTTTAAATATAGACAAAAAAAACAACAACATTTACTACAGTATGTCAAATAATACGATAAGAATTCCCCCGGCCTTTGAATGGATGCTACAGCTCGGGTCAATATTGATTGATAATGAAATGTCGTTGTTCACATTTCCCATTTTTTTCTTTCTCGTAGATGTAAGCAGAGATATTTTTAGTTTAACATTTATCAATAAAAAGGACATGACACTAGGCGGGTGACTGACCTCAAAGCCATTTCCATCACGATTTTATCTATATTTATCTATCTTGCATCTAAACTCTCACGGAATCGTATAATATATTTAAGCGATCCTGAAATGTATAAAGCAAAAAAAAAAAAAAAAAAAAAAAAATAAAAAGAAAAAAAAACAAGAAAAGAAATTTAAAAAAAAAAAAAAAAAAAAAAATAGAAGATATATATACACGAAGAGTATTTTAAACATTCAAATAAAGATACGTTTTGAGAGGAGGCGAGGGGAAGATGAAAAAAAACAAACCTGCTAATGAATCATTGATCTGGGACAGATATAATGAGTAGTTATGACAGTAGGCGAAGACACTGGTTTAGACTGAGCATATTTACATTATTACTTGACATTCTTCGAGAAACAAATACTTATATGGCGGTGCACGCCAGGATCCCCATTGCACCCTATGACCTGCCTGTCCTCGTGCTAATTTCGTACATGGAATGAAAGTTACCCCCCAACCCCAACCCTAAACCAAAAACAATGAACATAAATGAATAGATTTTAGCATAAATAAGTAATGATAAATAGCTATGTCAACGTGTATTGAAGGCTGGGTGAATCATGACATTTTCCAATAGAAAAGGGGCGTTGCGCCGAAATATTAGGACTCTTAAGACACTTAACTGAAATAGGGTAGGTGCTATTGCCCTCAACAGTTTCAAAAAGAACCATGGCATCATTGGCGTAGGTAGGGTTAGTTTCGCACGGGGCGGTTCAAGAATATTTCCGCCCTTTCCTCCATTAAAAAAAAACAACAAAAAAAAACAAACAAACAAAAACGCCACAGTAGACCGAAAATTTGGCCCCTTTATATAAAGTAAAAAGTGTCGCTTGGGGCAGACCGCACCCTCCGCAACCCTATTTCCTACGCCACTGATGACATTTGGTTGTGGTGGCGGTTAAAATACCAAGAAATAGGGGTTCTCGTTATATGTTTCACTAATATAAGACATTGCTTGCAATTTAGGCTAACAGAGATTAATGACTTAATGATTCTGTTTTTTTAAAGAGCTTATCTTCGCTTTGATGATCAAAACAAATCATTATGCGCTAACATCAAGTTTTACAGTGATTACCGATTGCCGACGTTGTGTAACACATGTTGCTGCAAGGTCAATGAACTTGCTCTCCTGTGATTCATTTTTTTCCCCCAATGCAGTTATCTCCCCGTAATTAAATGTTGGCGAGGAAGCCAAGGAAGATAACCGTCGGAGACGACAGCTACAGTAAAAATTCAGTTTCGCCCACCCCCACTGTAAGGCTTGTCGTCAGCTTTCAGATTTGAAAAGACGTTGTACTCAATCGTGCCATTCCAATATAGTGCACGCATGATTGTGTTCTATCTAGCTTTAGAATGAACAGAAATGCTTTTGTTGTAACAATTTTAACATTGTCAGCAATAAAGAATTTGGTTACGGTCACAATCCGAACCGCTAAAGTACGGTTAAAAATATAAAATAATACAGATTAAAAAAATTTGAACACAAAGTACATGGCAGCAGTGTTTCTCAAACTGGGGTCTGCATTTTCAGGGGCACCCTGAAGAAGTCCCTGAGATAAAAATGTTGGTCTATTTACGATTGTTGCCCTGGCTGTTACGTCCCGTGGAGGAATACATTTTAGTTACCATGAGACTTGATATATTCACTAAACTTTGAGAACCGCTAGTATTGTATGGTGGTATAGGTTCAATTCTTTTTCAGAATCCAGCAGCGAGTGAATCGAATGTTAAGGTCCACTGTGTTTCCAGAAATCTTTCGCATAGTGTGAAGCGTCAGTTAGTATCTCTCTCTCAGATCTTCATTAGCCAGCATGTCAATTCTTAGAAAATAAGAGCTAAACTTTGGGCTAACCAAGAGGATGGAACATTGCTAACCTAATTTTTTACAGTCCTTTGCAGAAGAACGATTGTGTATAAAAATGGCTCCATCTTTGTAATGCCTAACATTTTGTTATATCTTTCTCTTTTTTTTTTTTTTTGGTCACTGGTAACATTTTCTTTCCAGAAAGGTGCTGGTTATATTTTGAATGTTCTATCATCTTAATTAAATGGTTTATTTAGACGAGCTTTAAATTGTTAACTTAAATAATATCAAATACTAATTTATATTTAAAATTTCAAAAGTAGTTTTTTTTAAGGTTATAATGCTCTCAAAAAAAGTTAATTGAATATGACGTTTCGTATTTTAAATTTGGTTTTACTGTAGTTAAGTCTAGTGAGGAAGAGAAACTAGTATGTCTTTTGTGATCTGATGATCTAAAACCCAACAAGTTTTGTGTTCTGAAGTGTTGGCATCCACTTCTCTAAATCCCAACAAATTTTGTGTTCTGATGTGTTGGCATCCACTTCTCTAAAGCCCAACAAGTTTTGTGTTCTGATGTGTTGGCATCCACTTCTCAAAATCCCAACAAGTTTTGTGTTCTGATGTGTTGGCATCCACTTCTCTAAAGCCCAACAAGTTTTGTGTTCTGATGTGTTGGCATCCACTTCTCAAAATCCCAACAAGTTTTGTGTTCTGATGTGTTGGCATCCACTTCTCTAAAGCACAACAAGTTTTGTGTTCTGATGTTTTGGCATCCACTTCTCTAAATCCCAACAAGTTTTGTGTTCTGATGTGTTGGCATCCACTTCTCTAAATCCCAACAAGTTTTGTGTTCTGATGTGTTGTCATCCACTTCTCTTAATCCCAACAAGTTTTGTGTTCTGATGTGTTGGCATCCACTTCTCTAAAGCCCAACAAGTTTTGTGTTCTGATGTGTTGTCATCCACTTCTCTTAATCCCAACAAGTTTTGTGTTCTGATGTGTTGGCATCCACTTCTCTAAAGCCCAACAAGTTTTGTGTTCTGATGTGTTGGCATCCACTTCTCTAAATCCCAACAAGTTTTGTGTTCTGATGTTTTGGCATCCACTTCTCTAAAGCACAACAAGTTTTGTGTTCTGATGTGTTGGCATCCACTTCTCTAAAGCACAACAAGTTTTGTGTTCTGGTGTGTTGGCATCCACTTCTCTAAAGCACAACAAGTTTTGTGTTCTGATGTTTTGGCATCCACTTCTCTAAAGCACAACAAGTTTTGTGTTCTGATGTGTTGGCATCCACTTCTCTAAAGCACAACAAGTTAAAAAGACACATGGAACGAAGTATCCCTGCTCAATAAAAAATAAAAAAAGATGTCGACTCCTTAAACGCGAACGATTGCCCAAATCCAGGCTTGATGACACATGCCCGTTTCCGCAGAACATTAAGACTTGTCTAAAAGTTTTAAGGACAAAAGCTGCAGCCAAGAAACCCTACAACATCGGAGAATAGTTGATATCACTATGCTACAAAGACAATGTCGAATTAGCTGGCAAGTTCTGAACCAGAGAAGATAAAGCACGTTTTCCTTTCAAATGACACTTTTAGGCGGCGAATAGCGGAGATGTCTGATGACATAATCTCGCAGTTGGACTCGAAGATTCAGAGTTCCATTTTCAACTTCTTTGCGATCCAGCTTGATGAAAAGATGGATGTCGCCAACTGAGCCCAATTTTGCGCCTGCGTACGATATTTACATGGCAAACAACTGGAAGATTATTATTTATTTTTCAAACTTCTCAGTACCAGAACAACTGGCAAAATAAATGTTTAATATTTGGACAGATTCTTTCAGGCGCATGGTATCAAATAGGAGTATGCCATTGGCATATGTTCTGACGGCACTCCATTCGTGAATGCCGTTCTCGTTTTCAAATTTAAGTTAAGCAAAAAATCCCCACTCATTATTGGCACACACTGCACTATTCAACGTGAAGTCTTAATGGTGAAAACCATCCCTGGTGAGTTGAAAAATATTCTCAGTGAAGTGATTACTGCAGAGAACTTTATTAAAGCGATGCGAATGCAGTCAACTTCCGCTTTTCCTTGAGTTATGAAAAGAAATTGGTTCCGGATTTGAAACAAGCTTGTTGCACGCCCACGTGAGGTGTCTTTCTAAAAGGAAAAGTTTGAAAAGAGTTTTCATGCCACATGAAGAACCAGACATGAACCACAATTATCTGTCAGAATTCTGATATCCTTGTCATTAAATGGTCGACATATTTGAATCCTTGAATTCAATCAACACGAGGCTTCTAGGACAAGATATCGCAGTGCTTCATTGTCATGAAACATTGGCAGCTTTCAAAATGAAGCTCAAACGATGGCATGCAAAGTTAGAAAAGGGGAACTCGGCCCCATTTACCACAGCCAAATGCACACATTGATGGAAATGAACTTTACGTCGATGGCAATATCTTTGATGTGATGAAACTACATGTATCGATTCTTAGCAAAGAAATTTCTCATTACTTATAAGAATTTTAAAAGTACTGTTGCTTCATTATCATCTCATTTGCACTCTCCATTAGTGACCTGCCTTCGGAGGACAATTTAATCCAAGAACAGTTCATTGATTTGATAAGTGATGGTGTTGCAAAACTTGTCTCCCGTGAAGTGTGTTGTATTATTGTTTTTTTTTTGGAATGAGATGCTGCAAAGATGGCTCAAAGATGGCTGATTCCATTTGCAAACACCTATACGTGTGAGACGGCAAACTACTTAATCTCAAAACAGAATCCCGAAACAGATGCACAAAAATAACATAAGAGTTGCACTGGCCAAACACAAGCGAACCCTATAATAAACCTATAACAAATAAGGCATAGCTACTCTTCTTAACTGTACATTTGATTAATACGTTTTGTAATTCTCTGAATACAATTTTTTATTCACTATTTTTTTAACAGTAGCCTATATTTTAATTGTAGTTAATTATAAAGGGTCCGCAAGCATTACAACAAATTGTAAAGAGGCCGTCACGCAAGAATTTATAAAAGCGTTTGAGAACCATTGAGCTGAATTTTTTATTTTTTTTAAAAATGATATTTAAGCGTATTTTCACTTCCATCTCGGCTGTTATAGATCCATAGACAATAACAATGCTCATTAAATTGTCCGTCCATTTGAATATTTATAAGTCTATAATTTAAGTACCTACTATAGTTGCTTGAACTTATTACACACACAAAATAAACAGTGTTTCCTTTTTAAATAATAGAGATAAAACTAAAGATACCACTCTATATATCGTACTATTTGTATGTGTTATATAATTCCACTTATGACCAAGAAAGACATGATAGGGACCAAAAAATCAATTAAAAAATCTAAGGACCGTACAGATTTTCTGGCGCGTTTAACATCATAATACTGTGACAGCCCCTGTATTAAACTTCTTTTAATAAGGGCTTAGAAATTCCGTGGGTATTCACAAATCTTTCGGTAAAAGACATTACATTTTGGCGTATCATATGTCACCCTTACGAAGAGTTTCCCGACATTTTTTTTTTTTGTAACAGGACCACTTTTTAAAACGTCAAAATGACTAACGACTCCATTTTATAGTTAACAGTTGTTAAGTAGTGACCCTTGACCCTGAAAGATTTTTAAAAATTAATAGGACAACAGAAAATAGATGAGGTATTATGAACTCATTAAAAACAAAGATTAAAAATAAACATCTTTAATCATTAAATTAATTTTTGTTTTAATGTTTCAGCCGAGAACCCAACATGAAACTAAGTGACTTTATTTGGGTCTGCAATCCAAAATTTGGGAACCAGGGCTCTATTACGCAGACCAACTTATTTAGCCAATTCTCCCTTTGCTTGCTCTACACCAGTGGTTCCCAGACTTTTAAGTTTGGCGGACCGGTGAACAAGTTTCGAATTTTTTACTAGGGACCGGTGCATGATTTATTGTTATACTTTTATTTCTATTTGACAATAAATATTTATGTTATGGGGACCGGCAGCGTTAGGCATGCGGACCGGTGAAGGTCCACGGACCACCATTTGGGGACCACTGCTCTAACACTACACAATCCTGAACTTTTTATCTGTAACTAGACGGAGCCCGCCAAAGATTGGCGACAGCAATGCATGAACTTCCCATCTACTAAAATTGCTTGACAAAGACGTGAACTCAAGTTGCGCACATTTAAGAATGCAAATTTTGCTACACCCCTGCCATAACCTCAACCCCCCCTCACCTCNTTTATTTTTCCATGATACGTCACTGCACACTTTTTATTTCACGCAAGTCGTTAACTTATTCTACAGTGCAACTTTTGGAAGCCTGCTTAATTTCAGTATTACCTGCTCGCGTGGGAATTCAACGTCTGATATTAAACACCGCATAAACCAACTAATCAAGAAGGCTAGGAACATAACACAAACTAAACATCCTTCACTTGAAAAACTATTTGAAGAAAGATGTTTTTTTTAAAAACTAAACACATTTTGGATGATACAACCCATCCATGGGCGCCCGCAGGAAGGGGCAAGGGGGGCACTTGCCCCCCCCCCCGGCTTGATTGGATAAAAAATTTTTAGACAAAAATAGAAAAAAAATTTATTAAAAAAAAAAGAAAAAAAAGAGAAAATAACTAATTGAAAAACTATTTGAAGAAAGATGTTTTTTTTAAAAACTAAACACATTTTGGATGATACACCCCATCCATGGGCGCCCGCAGGAAGGGGCAAGGGGGGCACTTGCCCCCCCCCCCGGATTGATTGGATAAAAAATTTTTAGACAAAAATAGACACAAAATTTATTAAAGTAAAGAGAAAATAAAGAGAAAGTAACTAAGCTGATGTCCTGTCGGCTCGTTCACCATACAAATACGCTACAGTAAATTAAAACTATATTAAAACATTACTAAAAATGTTTTGCCCCCCCCCCACCCTGGAAAGTTAATCGATTTTTTTGCCACTCCCTAGAAAGTTTTCTGCGGGCGCCCATGAACCCACCCTCGGCATCACAAATACTTAGGATCGCGGGCCGTTCGGGACGAATTCTTTCCATCAGGGCGAGGACTGACAGATATACAAATTCTTTTATTCCTCAATCTGTACGAATTTACCGGCGTGCTCCCTCTGAAGTCACACATCTTAATGGGAACTAATAAGTCCCGGAATTTGCTAAGAGAACTCACTGAATGGCTGTTTGAAATAATTTATTATAAATGTCTTGTGTTCAAATTGTTTTATTTATATGCTGAAAATGTATAATGCAATCAAAAAACATTTTCATTTATTTGGATCAATAAAAGAATCGTATCTTATTTTATCTTATCTTATGAATTATATTAATATTCTCATGTCCCAAACACTTTTAAACCGAATAATTTTTACATAATACTTAAATTGAGACGATTTCATTTCCGAAAAGAAAACATTACGCACCAAACGCAATTGCTTTATTAAAAAAAATATATATATCATATATAGCGTAGTTATCGGGAATTATATTTTTCGCGCTAGTGAACTCATTATTGAACCAAACTCTGGCGTATCTATAAATAGCTTGCGTGGTGTTTGAACCGTATTGGTGTTTGACCTTTGCTGGCAAATTATAGATATAGACTAGTAAATGACCAATAAAAAATCGACGTTAAGATGGCAATTTATAACAATGCATTACGTGTTTAAATTAAATTGTCAGAACTTTTTTTAAACGTGCAAATGCATAGTTTGAATATTGTGGAGAGTCGGACCACGACGGCGCCTGACGTAATCCGTCTGACCGAAGGATCAAGCTTGTGGAGCACGACGGACCCAAGGATCAAACGCCTGACCAATTACGGCCGTCTGACACCCAGACACGACCATCCATCTGACCAGGGCATTTACCTGGGACGTCTAGACCATGGCGGCAATTGAGAAAAGGGGCGGCGCAAGTACAGACCCAGGGACCTATAAATAGGGACCTCTGGACGGGACGAGGGAGAGCGCGAGCGGATGGTTAGAAAAGGGAAAGCGGCCGGACTGTGATCGGGAGAGCAGGGAGAAGTGAGAGTCGGAAGATGAGTGATAGAGTAAGCAAGTGATAGACCAAATAAAGAACACGAGTTTAATGATCCAATGTATCACCGGAGTTGTTTACTTATTGAGTACCCGATTCAGATGAAGTGTGTCAGATAGTAAGTAAGGTTCCCTTACAATATATAAATAACTATAATTTGTGTATAATAATTTTAAAATGTTAATTTTATATATAAATCATGTCCCTTGCCTATTTGTTGACATGTAATACGTGACGTATTGTTACCAACACCAATATTTCACTTTAACTTTTATAGTAGGGGATTGATCTATGACGCAGATGGTCCACACATCTATTCATATTTTGCCTCTTGCTGTCCTCTCGCATATAACACCTCAGCTCAATTTTAATGTTTGTATTTGTGTTATTTTTTTTTGTTTACTGAAGAAGGCTTCTTGCCCACACGTCATTTGTTTTGTTGCGTCCTTTCATTTTCAGGTTTTACCGTACCTTGTTTCACACATTTCCTAATATTTTGGCCTACATCTTTTGTAGAACGTTGATAGAATTTACATGTTTTAGACGGATTGATGTCTTCATAAAGAATATTTCTTTTCTCCAAGATTTTCCTTGTATTATAATGGATGACTAAAATTGCAGTTGTTGATTGTTGCATTTTTATACGTTTCCAGACCTTAAAATTAAGTGCCATTGCCATCAAGTTGGTCCTTGTCTTCATTCATTATATGTTACTGCAGGTGTGATTATTAAATAAAAAAAAAACAACTCTCTAAATATAATTCTTAAAGTATATTACTTTTTTTTTTTCCTGCTGCTAATTATTGAGAATGTATGCATACCTTATCTGCAGTTGAATGTGTGCATACCTTATCTGCAGTTGAATGTGTGCATAACTTACCTGCATTTATATACCCTTAAAAAAAAGTGTGCTTGAAATAAAATAATTACTTCTAGTGTGAATATTATGAGGTCTGATTGGCATAAAAAGGCTTTCCATATGTTTATAACAGGTATATTGTTATATTAAAATAAACACTTTTTTTTTGGATCAGAATATTTTAATTCAGATTGACAGTAAAAAATATACATCTGAATATGTTTCAATCAAAGCAGAGGTGTTGCTGTTAAAATGAAACACCCCCCCCCCACCCCACCAACACAAAGTTATTAAAAAAACAACAAAAAACCACACTTCAACATTATGGCATATTATTATTAAAAAAATAAAATAAAACTTGACTAAAAAGTAAAAGTCATTCAATAAAAATAACACATTTCTATTTGACCATAAAAGTATTAAAAGCAGGATGTTATCTTTTCCTCTTTCCTAACCACAGGTACTGATGAATTTTCCAATAAGAACGAACTGAAGATGCTATTAAAACTGTTTTTTTTGGTAGGCAATTATGAAAAGTTAGGAAACAATAATCGAGTCTGGGAATATATTTTACATATGGCAAAAAACAAAACAAGTAGGCTACTAGTTATTGTTAAAAAAAATGTTTAATCTAGAAAAGTTTTAATTTTTGTGGAAAACATGTAGATCTAAATGAGGAGCATCTAAATAATATTTGAAAAAAATTATTTTGTGGAAAAAACAAAACACCTCCAAATAAAGTGGGAAAAGCTCTTAAAGAAGAGGGAAATGGAAAAAAAAAACAACAGCACAGTTTCAAGGTAAATCTTTTAATAAATACTTTTTTGTAAGTCTTTTCAGATTCATTGAAATTAAGAAAAGCATTTCATCTTCATCAACATGTTTAAATTCAACCTTAAAATGCCATTAATTTAGCTCAAGATACAAAGTAATTAACTTCATTTTATTGGAAATTAAATCTTTAAAAAATGCCAGCACCAACAAAATGTAATTTAAAATATAAGAGACTTTGACAGAGAAATCTCAGTGGTATGCTTAACAAATGGTTAATTATAAAACATATAAAATGAAACACAGTATTTTCAAATGAAATTGAGGTAATAAATAAAAAAAATTAAAAATAAACTTCTCAAATGGTACATGGTATTGAATTTTAACATGTCTTAAGAGAAAATATTATTTTCTATAGAAGGCTTTCAAATATCAACATTGCAGTACAACAAATCTGGTCCCAGCTGATGTTCAAAATCTTAACTAAATTGTAAGAAATGAAGTGGCTGTTGAGTATAAAAAAATTCACACCTTCTTAATCTTAAAATTGTTCTGTAAAGATTAAATTACTGAAGCGACCATACCTCATCACATCAACATTCCATCAATAGTTTGAATTCAGTTCATGTTAGTTGCTGGCAACACTACAGCTACCACATTACAAAACTGTAACTATATTGAATGGTGACACACACACACACGCATTGTCATGCAATACTTAAAGAAATATAACTTTTAAAATCCTGCTTAACTTTATGAAATTTTTATAAATAATTTTCGTGAAAACTGTAGAAATGGCTTTAGGTCAAACATGTAAACACAAAGAGTTTATATTTTAGCTTTCATAGCAAAGAGGTCTCCCAACTTCTGCGCCAGCATGATGTTTCCTGTCAGTTTCAGCTTCCCCCCTAGAAAAGCCTGTAAACAATACCATGAGTCAGATATTAAAAGATGGAGTGGCCCTTGCACACATGTTTTTGAGAGCGTAAAAGAACGATTACTTTAATTTACTTTAAATCAATGTGATACCTTGAAAACTTTTAGTGACCATTAGCTGAAACTTACAATGTTTAAGTATTATTTATAGAATTTTTTTTTATCAGAAGAGCATTTGTCAATGTTATTCCTAAAAGTTGGGACTTGCAAAATTAATTTACAGCATCTTCGTTTTGATTGGGGGGACAGTCATATATTTTATTGATTTAGCTCACAAAGCTCTTCAACGTTACTTCACATTTGGGACATACAAAAAAAAAAGAAGATGATTATGGGCTACCGCAGTTATTACAATTTGTTAGATATATAAGTGAAGGCTCTTCCAGGTTCAGAAAACCAAACCTCTACTGAAAAGGAAACTGAAGACCAAATAGTCAGCAATATGGCTTCACACTTTGGCAATGGCTCAGCTGAAACCAACCACAGCATGAAAGAAAAATAACATGACACACCTGAACATGTTCAGTGGTTTTCAAAAGCAGGCGGTCACCAGAAATGTTCTTTCCTTTATTTGTTCTTGACAACAAAGCAAGCATACCCCAACTTATTACTCTGATACTACAATCCAGCCACTGTAACGCCACTGGCGCCAAGCTGTCATCCACATGATGTTCCTTAAACCGGGTTATCCAGCAGCATGAAGAGAGGCGATTTGCTGTGTAGAGAACCAGCTTATAATCCTAAAAAAATTAATAATCCCCGACCTTGTAGATTTAGTCGTGCAAAATCTACACCTTTGTCACATTGTGACAAACGATGACAGCGAAGAAAAAACAACAAAAAACAATCCAGCCATAATCTCCAATGATAAATAAGCTCACTCGTTACTCATCACTAACCTTTTGAGCATCAAGTTTACCCGAGACCAGGTCAACAAAGTTCTCATCCGTTATGGTCAGAGTACAATCAGCCTTGCCAGATGAAGGATTCCCCTCGTAAACCTCACCATTTTTTGAGTTTTTCATATCTACAACTGCAAAACAAACAAACAAACCACAGGTGCAAATTAAGATTAACAATAAAATTTACAACAGCAGTTTTAGAGTCTTATATTTTAATGGTTTATTGAATTGGCCTCCTAAACACACAAGAAAATGAACAAACCCCATGTTGAAACTTGTGCACCATCTTTGGTGATGTTCCACTGGAAAACTGCATTGATTTTAGCAGCAAGACCAGGGTTGGACTTGACCTGTTCTGCCATCAGTTTGAATATTTCTGTACTTTTAAGTGGGCCGGTCTGAAAACAAAAGCACCTTTTAATTGAGTTATGTTTTGAACTTTCAACACCCTTTGGCCTTGAATTTTTAAATCCTTTATATTAACTTCACTTTGATCGTGTGTTTCTTTGTTTCTGGGTGTACGGCAATATATTTGCAAGGCTACCTGACCCACTTCCAGCCAAATTATCGAGCTGCACCTTAGCACATAGACTTGTTGGATTACAACACATTCTTTAAAATTTTCAGCCCCACCCCTCTACCCCAAAAATTCGTTTTTCCAGTTTTTCAAGGGAAATATGACGCCACTGACTTATCTAAATTAAATTCCCGATAACTGTGCTAAATGAGATTCGTAAAAATATCGCAAGTTTGGTGTGCAATATTTTCTTTTGTTTTTCTGAAATAGTGAGTGAAATAAATCTGCAGTGTAAAAGTGGGTGGAACATTTGAATATTAATATAAAATAAAAAAAATAAAAAATTGCAAATAATGGATTTAAATGAAAAACACTGTTTTTAAGGGGTTGTTTAATTTATATTTAGAACAGTTATTTTTTAAAGTTTTTAAAAATTTCATAGTAATTAGTTTGGTTAAATAGCTTTGGGGACATAATTATTATTTTTTACTGAAAGTAAATTGTTATCAAGAAACGTTTTTTATATGCAACATGGCATTTTGAAAGCTTACTGGCAATTATAGAAATGAGGATGCTGAAAATATTTTTATTTCAATATAAATTTGTATTTGTTTGAATATGAAAGCTTATTGCTCTTAGATAGCCTACCTGCTGTGAAACAACTTCACTAACTGCAGCTGGTGTCAAATCAACATAGGCGCCAGTTATGCAAATATTACCATTATCCACAACCTTAAGAACAGATACTCAAGTCTTTATTATGGCTGACATTGAATGGTAAGTTTTATCACAATTATACTGCTAGTACATTTTATTTACAAAAATTACCTAGGGAAATAAAACTTTAAAAAAAAAAATTGGTTTGTGAGGCGGTTTCACAAATAATTTAAATTTATATCAGATTCCATCGATAATAATACAAAATTTTACAAATAATTCAACTTCTGGCAACTGTTCAAAACAAAATTTAAAAGAAGCACCACTTTAATAGCAATTTTAGTGATGAGAGTAGAAGTTGTTTTGTCAAGTGTGTCTTACTTTTGTCTGGAAATGGATACGATTTCCTTCTTTCCACATCTCAGTTAGGAGAGTCTGCCCTGGTAGGACAGGCTTAGCAAATCTCACCTAAAATAAACAAGAAATATAACTTTCACGATATTTGTACTCTTTATTGACATGCTAATGCAGAGTTTGAAGCAAAATTCACATATTATATTTCAATCTATATAGTTTTGTGAAAATTATTTTCCTTAAGACAATTATTAGAGCTAATCACCTTCACAGCTTTAAACCGGCTCATATCATTGTTAGCATATGTGGCCATAACATGACGTACTGCATAGCCAAATGAACACAGGCCATGCAGGATTGGCGTCTTAAATCCTGCAATAACAAACAAAATGAAATGTGACGTTTAGAGAAGAAAAAGGCATATGGTTGGGTAGAATTAAGAAATGACAAAACTATTGATCTTACCTCCCATTGCAGCAAAGCTGGGGTCAATATGAAGGGGATTGGGATCTCCATTTAGTCTATATAAGGCAGCCTGGAAATGCACATCCATTGGTAAGATAATTAAACAATTATTAATAAATTATTCAATCGATCTTTCAACAAAAATTGATGAAATACCAGTGAATATCTAGGTCAAAGATTTTTTTTGAAGAACTTCTTCATATAAATAACTGTAATCAATTGAATTTTACAATTAACATTTTTAATGTTTGTATGTAGGGCTGTTAAACCATTACTTAATTTCTAACGTAAGTATTAAATATCATGGTCATGTTTTTTTTTTCTTTTCAAAACGATAATAAAAAAAAGTATTTTTTTCTCTATATTACAATCCCAGAATTTTCAGCCATGAGATGGGTAAGAGCATGTTGCCAGCCAGTATGGGAATTCATATAAATTTGGGCAGCCTGCCCATTCTTAAAAAGTGAGTCAAAGGCACCCATTTTCTATACACATTTTAAGGGGTTTTCCAAACATTATGAATGTAACCAATATAAAGGAAAAGAAAAAAAACATAAATTAGAAAAGCATCACTGGTTTTAACATATATTACTTCTATACCAATGGGTTTTCCAGAAAGCATCCCTAGCCATTTATGAGATTTAAAATGTTTACCTGATCAATAGATGTTTTTTCATGCTTGACCGCATCAGGAGCACGGCCAGGGATATCAACAAGGGGCTTTGACTCATTAGAAGTCTGATTTCCACCAAATTTGCCAGCTCCCACAACAAATGTTGCAAACTGGTTGAATGCCACTTTTTCATTTTTTTCATCAACAGTTTCAACTGTTCAACAATAAAGATTTTTATTATTTATTTTAACAACACATTATCATAAATATTTGTCAGGTAAGACACACTGAAAATAAACAGAGTGTAACAGTCATCCCGAAACATATATAACTGGGTATATGAGCTTTGAACGGTTCAATTTATATAATAAATAAATATCAATATTTCTTCTGTCAACAGAGTTTTCAGCAAATTAAAAAAAAATATTTTCAACTTAAGGCTTTGCACAAAATGAAATACTTTCTGGGTGTGTTTGGAAAAGAGTAAAAATTCATATCTAAATCATAAAGAAATATAGCACATTATTTTAGTCAAGGTGCTTTTTTTTTTACCATTGTACAGTATTACTGCTCCTGATTTCTTGTCCATGACATCAGCAATCCAAACCTTTGATGTCAGTGTTCCTGAACGAGGGAGTGGTTTGTACAGTTCTAAATACTGCTCACCATGCAATATCTGAGATGTAAAAATAGAGAAATTCACATCTTTCAAATGACATCAAATTTTTAAAACAATTTTCATAATGTAGGCACTATAATGTCTCATTAGCTGCCTTATATAAAATACATTTATGAAAACTGGCGATTTAAGTTAGGGCCATAGTTCATTAATTATCTATCAATATGTACTTGTCTACAACTTAAAACGAAAAAATAAAAAAAATTGATTAAATGATAAAATAAAAAATATTAAGTATGCAAAAGCATTTCTACATTTAAATTTATATTGAGAATGACAGGTTTTCATTTACATAAGCCATGGGCCTTTGATATTAGATCTCTATAAACTGATTATTGAGTTTAAGTTAAAAAAATTTAATGAAAATCCCTTTTTTTAAAACCTTCTTACACACCAAACAAATATTTTAGTACTAATTAAAGTTAAAGCCCAGAATGCTGTCCTTGAAAAATCAAACAGTTACAAGCAGTCAAAAGTAGCTTTGAATCTAACCTTGGTAGGGTCAATTTTAAAGCCTGGCACCCCTTTCATTTGACCTGATTTCAAAGTCTCAAATGCAGGTATGACAGCAAATGTGGGCAGGACGGAGAAATCAGCAGAAAATTCAAACAGAAACTTGAGGTAATCCTCCTGTGAAGTGGATACTCCAACTGTAATGCATTAAGTAAGATAAGACAGAAAATATTGAAAATGATTAAATTCAGCCTCCCAGAAACCCTTATAAGGAAACTTGAAGACTATATGTTCAACACAGGACATTTCAATTATTTGACTCTGATACTGTTGAGCTGTTATAACTTTTCCTTTAAAACACATGATAGCATGATGTGTAATTACATGCTGTTTAACACCATAGCCCTAGGACAATGTATGTTCCACTTCATCATAATTTGTTTAGTTACCTCACATGAATAAGATGTATCTGTCCAGCGGTGTGCTGGACCCAGTTCGGTCTAGCTTGGGCTAACTGGTTGTTAAAGTTTGACTATTCTACTATACCGGTGGTTAAAAATGTCAAAATCATAAAACAATATAGCACTCCTCAAATTCAATGTTTTTTATATAATCAACCAGAACTGGTTGTTGTTTGATTGGCAGCACATCACTTATAGCTGTCTGGACCTGACTTCACCATTTAGTTTCTCAAATATAGCATTTGGTAAAGTATATCTATAATTCCAAGTGCTGTTAAATGACTTACGTTTTATTAACTTGAAATCAATGGACAATCATATACAATATTAGCATTGGTGGTTATTAATAAACTGTTTACCAGAAATAGAATTGTGATCTTTGCTGTAATCATGCATCATCATCAGTGATGCTACAGCCCATGTAGGGCCCTGGCCTGCTTCACCACATTCTTCCAGTCAGATCCAATTGGTCCCGTACTTGTGGTAGAGTGTAATCCTCATTGGTTCCTCCACCTGAGCCATTTAGCGGGCCTTCAAAATGTTGTGTCCATCTGTCTAGTAGCTTACTGCTCTCTGCGATAGTTCACCATCCATACTTTCATACCTGTGCGATCTTGCTTGAACGCAGTTTTTTCCTGCTTTATTTTCAGATACATTCCCTTCACATCTCTTTCTTTTGCCAAATCTCTCTATCTCTAATATTTTTCCCAATCACATTTTTTTCTCTCTACAAATTTTGTTAGCCACCCTTCTTGTTTCATTAAATATTTGTTGTGTTTTTCTTGTCTCCCTTAGCAGCATCATTAGCAGAGTCTTGTTTCTTTCTTCTATAAACTTTCTGCATTCTGTGTCATACCATCCTGTTCTTTTCCCTGTCTGTTTAAATCCTATTGTTTCCCCTGTTACACTTTTCAATATTTGCTTTAAATTATTTCCCATTGCTCTTTTATGTGGATGCTGTTGGCCGATTCCCTTTTGAAAACTTCTAGCTGAGTTTGAATCTTCTGTTGATATTCCTCAGTAATTTTTGGGTCCTTGCTTAATTTCTGGCTTTTGTACTGTTTTTCTCTTTTATTTTGTTTATTGAGGATGTTAAAATTCTTTGTTTCTTTTGGATGTTAAAATTCTTTGTTTCTTTTGGATTATTACAAGCATGTGGTCTGAGTCTATGTATGCCCCTCTACAGCTGAGCCATGCCCCCGGTCAATGAGTACCTGATCAATTATATTACAGGTAAATTTATCTGGTGATAAACATGTCCCTTTATATATTTGTTTGTGTTGGAATATTGTGCTACTGATTATAATTCCTTTTCCTGTAGCGAAGTCTGTTAGACGTGTTCCGTTGCCACTGTTCTCGTCATGCAGACTTTCCTTTCGGACAGTTGGCCTGAAGCATGTTCTTTCCCGATTTTCATGTTGAAATCTCAAGGAACTATTTTAGGATCATGGCGTCGTGCCTCATCATATATTCTTTCAAGTGTTTCATAGAAAGTTTCCTTAGTGCTGTCATCTGCATCTACTGTTTGAGCATGTGCCCAAATTAACATGATGTTAAACATATTTCCTTGTATCCTTATGGAGCACAGTCTTTCACTCCCTTGTTTAAACCCAATGACTCCATTCACTGTCTCTTTTTTGACTGCAAACCCTGTTCCTAAGGTGTTGGTGTTGTATGCACTGTAGAATCTTGTATATGCCTTAGTACTTAGAATATCTGACTCTTTCCATCTGATCTCCTGCAGTGCCGCAACCATGATTCTATATCCTAACAATTCATCACTGAGGCTGTAACCACTAGATTACTAAGCTTTAAAATAAGACTTAGCAATCAGTTGCATTAATCTATAGCTTTCATCAGAAAAACAGATTTTTTACATTAATGAATAAAAAAAAAGCCAACAAAGTCATTGACAAGAATTTAAATTAACATACCACCAAGAGCGTAAAGTATAGCTTCTTTTTCTGTGTAGTTGAACTTGGCAGATGATTTGAAAGTCTTTGCCAATGCCTGGTTTCATATATGAAAGCAGGATTTAAAAAAGATCAAATTTAAATAAATAAATACGATCTGTAGATGTAACAACATGATGGTAATCAAGTGCTTCAGCAAAAACAAAGTAACTACTTATCTGGATGTTGAATCACTGTTAGTATATCAAATTATTAAAAATATTTAACTAGTGCTGCTGACATGAATATTTTAAATTATTTGTTACTATACATTTTTTTTTCTTCAAATTTAGGCACAGAAGGAGATATTTGAGGCAGCGAAAGTTTTCTTACCACTGGGTCATTTGATTGAGCAGCAGCCTTGCTCTCTTCTTCCTCTTTGTCTAGTTCATTGACCAGTTGAATCATGAAACCTGATGACTCTGGGCGCAAATGAATAGCAATGTGTACATGAAAAATACACCCACCAACCCCCAGAATCTCATCCTTTATCATCAATATAAATAAAAATGATTTTAAAAATTAATAAAATTGTTATCGTTTTAAAAATAACTGTGTTTAAGAACAGAGTCTAAAGTGATTGTGTCTTGAAGAACAAATTATGTAATACAATTTATCAACTGCATCCTTAACAATCATAATAAATTAATGAAAAAGTCATTAAAAACACTGCAGTAATCACATAGGTTTTTAAATTTTTAATGACATCTAGAAAATTTAAGATTTTTTAAGGTTAAAGAGAAATTTTATTAAGCTTAAGTTAAATATGTGCAGAAACCACAAATCAAGAAATTATCAGTACCTGCGCTCGTACGAGGATATGTTGGATTGCTGAAGTCTGTAATTCTATCCCAGTTGTCTCTTACTAAAATTACAAAGTGGTTAAATATCTGGTTCATTATTTGTTTCAAATATATGGGAACTTTCTAAAAATAATAATTTTCATATCTGACTTTTTTTCTTAGAATAAGACCAAGGAAATAATAATCAATATAATTATTATATTACATAAACGAAAATTTTACCCAATTCTGCAGTAACCGGCTTGTTTTTTTCCCTCAGAGCTACTCCTTCTGTTCTCTGCCAACGTACTGCATTAAAGATTAGTATAAAATTAATAAAAAGCCAAGTGCATAAAATTTTTTACTTAAAAATCTTTACAAAAGAGAGGAGTGAAAATTAAGTATCTTAAATGTTGCCACATCTTCTTAAACTTAAGGGTTGAAAAGCTGTCCGCCAACACTCACATTTTCCCACCCAGCCAGCGCCAACCTCAAATAATCCTCCACTTTCCTTACAGCTGTCATGGCATAAATAAACAACAACAGGAGCAACATATTCTGGCTTCAGCGCCTCAGCTATTTCTGAAAACAAAAACATCAATATCTATTACATATTTGGAGGAGAGAGTATAATAGTTGAACAAATTGTTACAGTTTCTAACATTTTATGCTGTGTTATGCTGACTCACCAACTAAGACAGGTCATTTAGTGTCAGAATGCATGTTAAATATTTGCAATAAGGAATTTTAACATCATGATATCTATAAAATGTATAGACCTGATGTTACTGATAGGACTTTCTCAACATAAAAGGTTAAGATTTAGGCTTAAAATTATGGCAGATATAAAAATACATTTGTTAAGCTAATAATCAGAATTAACCTTGTGTAGCTCATGTATAACATTCATCAGTACATATTTTTGTAAATTTCATAAACTAAAACAGAATAGATATCAATCATCAACTTTTAACAAAAATTACAAATCATGAAATTAAAATGTTTTTCACATTCATCTGATGGCTTGGGTCTGAATAATTGCATTAGTTTTAAAAAAGAACATTGCAGGTATTTTTTAAGTTTAAATTTCTTCATTAACAAAAATCCTGATATAAATTAGCATAAAAAAAACGATATTGGCATAAAACCTTTAGGCATAACAGTTTCTGTGAGTCTTGAGCCAGCAATAGGAGCAATGCAGTTGCAGTAGATGCCATACTTTTTTCCCTCCAGAGAAAGTGTATTGGACAGGCCTGCAAGGCCAAGCTTGGCAGCACTGTAGTTGGCTTGGCCAAAGTTTCCATAAATTCCAGCAGAGGAACTGACCAGGATGATCCTATGTGAGATTAATAGTAATTGCAATGTTTAGATAATTCACCAAACATATTCAATCAAAACATATTGTAGGCACAATTTATGCCCAATAGTACATTCTGCAAAAGAAGTAGTTAAATAGTATTTCAGAGAATCTAACATTTCTGTAATCCTATTTTTAATGCTTAAATAATGTTTAAACAAATTCCATGACTTTGACATGAGTGTAAACAGGAAGTCTATAACTCAAAAATTGCAGAATGAATAGCACTATATAGACTTTGATTACTTTAACAATGTTTTTACTTATCACCATTGATGACCGTTTCATGAAAATGTTCAAAATTTTTTCAAAAGTAGATTAAATCTTAAAGCAGCGTTCCCAGGACAATGAAGGCAAATATATAGGGTAGCGAAAAAAAACTTCCAGAAAACCTTTCTAAGTGTTTGTTTTGGGGTTTTGATGTAATTAGTGTTGAATTGGGACTTGTGAGGTAAAAGTTTCAATGTCTCATTGTTGGAAGATGATTAGCCGAATCAACAGCACCTCTGCGAGATAAAGGAGGAGCCTAATTATTCAGCATTTCTTGAACCCACCAGCATCCACTTACACTCTGCTCCTACAGTAAGTGTTGATAAAGCATGTATTTTTCTTTTCTTTTGTGTACTAGAGGGAGAGCATTTGTTAGAGCATACGAGGTTAGACAGCAAGGTAGGAGGTGGGATATTTTATTATTGGAATAAGACAATGCAAGGACAGAGATAATTTTAGGGGTAAGAAGGCATTTTATAAATAAAAAGGAAGATGGGGGGACATGGCGTCACTCTGTTGAGAAACATCTGACCTTTCGAAGGTCGTTTGTTTCTGGTTTTGTTCAATGTCTAGGCATGCAGGTTGGGGTAGTCAGGCTATCGGATGATCAGTTATTTTTTTTTAGAATTTGAAATCAAAAGGCCAGACAAAAAAGGCAGATGGCCAGTGCTTTTTTTTTGGACACAGCACAGCACCTTTTTTGGTCTTAAATTTTTTTATTCAATTAAAATTAGTGATCTGAAATCTTTAAAAAAACTATTAAAACAACATTACTACTCAATATTATATAAAACTAAAGGCTTTTATAAAAACACAACCGGATTAAAGGACATCTTAACTAGCAATCTCTTCTTTTGTTCTCAATGGAAGTGTAAGACAATGGAAACTAAATTCAAGCCAGCGACAAATTACCCTTGAATTTTGAAGTAATCAAAAAATTTCTGGGGAGCCTTTGGCACCTTCAATTTTGCTTCAATCCCACCAAAGGGACATTACTAGCACCATTCTTATCTAAAAAAGCACTGCAGATGGGTAAGGGAGAAATAATGGCAAAGGGAAATAATTTGTCTCTTAGAGTGATGTTATCACATTTTGTCTCCAAACCTGAAGTTTCTAGTCTAAAAAAAAAACAACAACAATACCACCACGATACTTATGTTAAAATTTCTTTGGAATCAAATGTTTTGTTAATTTTCCGTATTTCAACCAAAAAAAAAATTCATACCTTCCATATCCTTGATTTTTCATGTGAGGCCATGCTGCCCTTGAAACCAAAAATGAACCCCGCAAGTGAACTCTATGAATGATATCTGAATTCCATGAACAGTGAAAATATCAAAGTAAAGACAGACATTGTAAGTTTTTTTTTTTTTAAATCTTGATAAAATTTTAAAAATTAATTACTAGCATTTTTGCCTTTTATTTCTATGCATTTTTCAGGATGAAATAAAAAACAATTCTTAAAAAAAAATATAGCCTTTTAATTTGCTTTACAAAATTTTTTTTTTTAATTACCTTAAAATAAAAATCTGAAAAGCTTAAATTTAACCTGTGCTATTTAAAGTAAAATTACATTTTTTCAAAGATGTTAAGAAACTCACCCCAATCTTCATCACTGATCCTGGCAAAAGATTTGTCACGTAAAATTCCAGCATTGTTTATCACCACATCTGAAAACATAGTTGTTGAATAATGATATTTAGAGCTTAAATAGTAAATGCTAAAAAATCTTCACAATTTGTTACATTCAAACCATGTGGACTGTCCAAAAAAAGAAGAGAAGTTAAATGTTCATTAAAGACAATGAACCTTACATAATGCCTGATTTCAAAATAAATATGACTAATTTATTTTACCAGTACACTAAAATGCTTTATGTGATTTTTCTCACCTATTCTACCAAATGCATCCAGAGCTGTTTGAACAACTTTTTCTCCTTCCTCTACTGAATCTATGTGGTGAAATATAAAACATTTTTTACATTAGATTAGCATATAAAATTCTTAAAATAAAACTACCTGCTAAATTAATGGACTAAAAATAAAACTAATTTATGGAAATTTGCTGAGAAGGAGTCAAATAGAGCACAGTTGAAATTTGGTGGAGTTAGTGCCTAATTAAATTTTGTAAAGGAGTTAATGCTATTAGTTTTACTACAGGTAGCAGTTTTTGTCACATTCTCTGAAATCTGGGAGTGGCCCATTATTAAATGCCAGAAAAGTTTAAGAACCACAGGCACAAGAAATATTTTATTAAATGTAAAGCTTACCATAATTTGCTACAGCCTTGCCTCCTTTGGCTTTGATTTCATTCACAACTTGGTCAGCAGCTTTTGAGCCTTTACCTGAACCAAAGGCACTGCCACCTAAATCATTCACTGAGTAAAAGGAAGAAAATTAATGTTTTCATTTGCCTCTTATTTTATATGAATTCACTTCAGTCAAATGCTGGGAAGTGTTTAAAAGTAATCCAACAAAAAATGCAATGCAACCCATGTCCTAATTTCTAAGCTTAAACTTTTAAGCTGATTTACGAGTTACAGCCTTCAAACAAAAGGCCTACAGACAGTCCTACACCCTACCTGACGGCCTTTAGACAACAGGCCTACAAACAGTCCTACACCCTTCATGCCAGCCTTTAAACACTAGTCCTACTGAAAGTCCTACAAACAGTCTTACACCAAAGCCGTGGCTCTTTATTGATTAATATAACAGTAGCCTCCCACTAAAGAAAAAAAAACAAACTATTTACATGAGTTCAACCATCACACATGACAGCTCTAACAATGACAGTTTTTTACTTCGCTCAGTACTATTTATATAAAATAAAAAACATGTAGAGTTGGGGGAGGGCCAGTTGTGAAGAGGAAGCAGGACACATCAGAAGCAAAATATCTATATAAGATATATTTACCAACAACTGCTGCTCCTCTTTCAGCAAAAGCCAATGCATAAGCTCTCCCTAGACCTGCAGGATAATACAATTTAAAATAATTAGCAGCAAAGAAAAATATTTTAACTTTGAAAACTACATAATATGTATAATATTAAGCCTTTTATCATTATAATTAACAATAAGATCAACATGGTGAAGGCTTATAAAGCCGTGTTGGTCATGTCTCCCAAAAAGTTAAAATAAATAAAATTAAGACTACATTAAATGTAAGTGGTTTACCAGAAAATGCTTATTTCTTTGACAATGAGAACATATTTTGGAGATAATTTTTTTTATAAAAGTAATAAATGGGATTAGAGGTAGGATGTTATAGATAATTTGATTGACTATGGCTAGTTTTCAGCATTCATTAAAAAAAATCTGCCAGACACTGATTGCACTTAAATTTCTACAAGATTTTTATTTTTCTGTAAACCAAAAGTTTTATCAAGTAAACAACTACATATTGAAAAGATGCACAGGTGAAATTCAGCAATTACACAGGCCTACAAAAAAAGCACCATTTCCCCTCTTCAACACCATGAGGCATGATTTTTTTTTTTTTTTTAACAGAGTAGGCTATTTTTTCTCTCACTTTAATGGTTGAGATTGTTTCACTCAGGGTTTACCTTCTTCTTCTTCTATATCTTAAGGGCCCACGATCAATTTATTGATCATTTTGGCTCCTATGCATGTAGATGGGATTTGCAATGTTTCTGTTACTGGTGGTGATGAGGAAATTATGCACTAGGGGTTTGAAGGCTTGAGGCAATAGACACAAATGTGTCTAGTGTTGTCGCCTCAACTGTTCCTTTTGAAAGATGGTTCCAGTCCCTGATTGTCTTGGGCAGGAATGAGCAGCTCCTATACTGGCTTCTTGCTGGTATGAGCCTGAATTGCCTGTCATGGCCTCGTCGCTGTCTATGGGGGAGAGGGACGAGTTTCTGTTTAATACTGGAACAGTGGACCAGCCCATTATTTATCTTGTACATCATGGAGAGCCTGGATTGTCGTCGTCGTTTCTCCAATGGTGACCAGCCTAGTGTTTCTAGCATGCTGCCAACACTAGAGGTATTCCTGTAGCGGTTTAGGACAAAACGTGCTGCTCGTCGCTGGACCGCCTCCAACCTGTCAATGCTCTTCTGGGTAAATGGGTCCCAGACTGAAGATGCATAATCTAAAATCGGACGGATAAAGGCTTTATATGCTCTTTCTTTCACACAGGTAGGATGTTATAGATAATTTGATTGACTATGGCTAGTTTGGGAGACATGACCTGATGGCTGTATAATTCAAACTGATCTGGCGAGTCCATTCCAACGTGAATATTTGCCCATAATAATCCCAAAAGAAATCTAATTCTTGCTTGCAAAGTAATATTACCATAAAATATAAGATAATTACCGTGTCAGTGAAAAGTATACCAATTTTTATTTCATTAGTAACAGCAATGTCAACTGACAAAAAAGGCTGAAAATAATTTATTGGGAAGAAAATGCAACGGTTTCCTCTGTACTAGCCGCAACGTTATCTACGCCATTGTCTGCACCCGCTGTCAGATGAAATACATGGGGAGACTGGACGCCGTCTCTCGGACAGGTGTACCGAACACCTCCGAAACATTACACAAGATAAACAGTGTCCCGTCTCCAAACACTTCAATAGTAGCGACCACCAGGGCAAGGTGGACTTTTCAATAAGTGCGATTGTGGCTAGCACGAACACAGCCAGCCGGGTCAATTTGGAACACAGACTTATCCTGACTTACGGCACTTTGACGCCAGATGGGATTAATGTTATGTCTCTGTTCACAGCTTGACCCTAGCTCCGCCCCTCCACGTTCTGACCTATCACAGTGAACATTTTTCTCCCCCTTTTTTTCACCGCTGCATATTTAAACTCTCACTCATTTTCCTTCTGCCACACTTCTATTGCTGCCCACAGATACTTCTTACCAGCTAAGTGCTATTTCTTATTTTTATTTTTATACCGTTTTTTCTGTTGTTTTGTTCGCTGACGAAGGCTTTCTGCCGACATGTTCGCTGTTTTGTTGCATTTATTTTTTCATGTTTAACCCTACTCTGTTTTACTCATTTTACTTTTCATTAAAAAAATTAATAACTGATAGACATTCAGTTGAAGCCTGATGTGATGACAGAGACCCATGTAATTCTTTTTCCTTGATTTGGTACACTAACAAAAGCAATTTCAATATAGTGGTCATCAATCCTCATGGTTTATCTTGGGTATTCGACCCACTTAAACTAATTTAAACGTATACTCAATCTGCGACACAACATATTCAAGTATTAGAAAATATATTGGCCGTTTTGGTGTGAAGCAGCACAAAGTCCAATGAAATCATTGTTAAATAAGTTTAACTATTAGACATTAGATCCCTGGTTCCCAACCCATGGAACACACCCTAAATGGGGGTCGCAGGGGGTTTTCTATGGGTCGCTAGCCGAAGCAGTAAACAAAATAAAAATAATATTAATTTCGACAGTTTTGTTTACATGGCGTTGTGAACTCCTCTGTGTTTTAACAAACATGCACTCTCCCCAAACAGGATAAATGACAAGGCATGGAGTAAATGTTTATCAAATGTATGGTATTGGCAAAAGTGGATTCATAGGACCATTATGTCATAATCAATTACTCTGTGCCTTTCTGTTAAAGTTACAACCTTCTTTCGCATTGAAGAGTTCTCGGAACTGGTCAATCATATTCCTCAATGGTTGGAACCTGTGCTTTACTTTAGATTATTTGTCGTATGGATTGCATTATTTCTATCTAGATTTTTAAACCATAAATGATACAATTCTGAAATTTTTTAAACTTTTGTCAAAATTCACTTACCCTTTCCTTAATGTTTATCTTATATTATAATAAATTATTATCTAATTTATTAAATTTATATAACAAATTTATTATTTATATCCTTATTATAGGAATTAGATGTTGTGTGTCGTGAGTGGTGAGGTGTAACTAATTATGAGGGATTTGTGAAATTCTTTTGGATAGATGTATGTCTGATTCTGAGATTGTGTTGAGTGGAAGAAAAGCATTTCGAGCCATGGGAAATGCTTGGATCTGGAGATCCATGTTCATGTTTTTCTTAAATGAGCTATACTTATACAAACAAAAAAAGCATGGTCATGAACGTTTAATGTAAATTTTTATTGGTGCACAAAAATTAAGGTTATTCCAGCGAGGTGTGCGTAAGATAGGTTTGCTCATTACATGAGAAGATGGTGTGAGTATTATTTTATGTTAACAACTTGACACCCTTGGAGCATCAATATCGAAGGAGGCGGCGCTAAGTTATAATATAACAGACTTAAACTTAAGACCTTGCAACAGATCAACAAACTTATGTCGAGTCGAGTTATGAACTTTGATTTTGATGCTGATGACACACCACAGAATACATGTTTTCACTCATAACTATCTGTAGCAAGATGGCATTCCACTGATAATTGAGGCATAAATAAATCTGAAATCTAATACATAATACAGTATGGCTAGTGATTGTGGTCGTAAAGTCGAATGGTGGTAAGTTGCATACGTCGGTCTTAAGTTGAGCACTAGCTGTACTTATGACTTGATTAATAATAATTATAGGTCTGGCGGCCTCGGCCTTGGCAACTTAACTCTTTTTTAATGACTCAGAGCAAACCTAAACGATTGAAACGTCTAGTCTAGGTCTACTTATCACTCTTCACACTAACTACTCTCCACTCTAGTCTACTGATATTAAGTATTAGTATTAGTATTATCATTCTTAGTCTTATTCTTAATTCTTAATCTTATGTATATTTTTTACTTGCCGTTTCCAGCACCAGTAACCAGAACAACTTTTCCGTCAAATTTTAAGGTATCTGTCATGGTTTAATCGAATAAAGTCGTAAAAAATATATGTACGACAGTAGTTAAAATGTTAAATTTTGACTCTTTCTTCGAACCTAAGTTTCAGTGATCAGTTTACAGCAAAGTTGAACTTTAGTCTTTAATCTTTAACTCGTACTTGTCAATCTAAGGGAGATCACTTTGGGCTAGAAGTTCACAGTGTGGACATTGGAAAAATGAGATTTACCCTATTTGTAATTTAAAGAAGTCCACCAGTCCTTGCTTTAATGATGAATTATTTGAAAATGAAATTCGCAGCCAAAATTAAATTCTTGAGACTAAATTATTCGTCTTTATCGCAGTACTCTCTAGCTTTTTGATCAAGTTTGACTAAATTTGTCTTAAAGTTACTTCAACTAAACAGTAAATAAACAGTGACAGTATAGCATAGCACGGTTCTCAATTTTGTGGAGCTTTGCCACTCTTTTGATAATATCTGTAGTAAAGATATTTGCTTGCATGTTTTTTTTTAAATAAAAAAATTAATTATATATACCAGTATTATAAATACATTTAACATAGTGATCGCTCTATTTTTCACGGCGCACTATTATTTATTTATTAGTTTGAGAGCCTCTATCGAAATTCAGGAACAGACTACTCTAAAATGTATAAATGAAAACAGACTTAGAAAACGGCCTGAACCTAAAAAATTGACCTCCGGGTAATTATAAAAAAAAAAAAAACTAAAACCACACGCTCTCATTGATTCCTGAATGAAAGTTAGCAAAGAATAATTGACAACAAATTGAATTGAGGTTTCAAGAAAAATTCTACAATCTCCTGCAGTGTAAATGAGTGCGTCGATTATAACTGCGTATCCTTTACTTTACTGTACTTTACATTTTAAAACTTGTTAGTTTTAATTTAAATTTATATAATTAAAGTAAGATTTAATTTTTTTTTTTAATTTTAAACTAGGTTATTAAACTTATTATTGAACTAATTTAATTTTAAAAGTTGTATCAAATCACTCCCTGACTCAATAGTAGTTAGTAGTAGAGTGGTAATGAGAGTAATGCTAGTACTATTTACTACTAACTACGTCACTTTGGAGATGGCTTCAGTGGGTCATGGAGCATCATCATACCCCCAACCGTTGCAAAAATGCCAGTACATGGATGCAGCAACGAAACATTACCAGAACCCCCACCCCCACACGGGCCCACGCCTGGTCTCCCCACCACCAGACCGTGCTGAAGCATGTCAGGAACCTCCTCGCTGGCCTGAGGGACGTCCGGTTGACTGAAAACGTTGCGTATAAAGCGTTGGTGGTCCACTCTCCTTGGATCTGAACGGCTTTACTTCCTCTTCGGAGGAAAGGTGTTTCGTTACCTCCCCCAACCATCCAGAGAGTTGTCCGGTCGGGACGAATGCTGGGACAAATCGGCCGCCTAGGAGCAGCTTTCTCAGGGCCCAGTAGCTCAAATCATCGGCAAGGGTTTTGACTGCCACCCAAACCTCATATCCATTAACGGCAATAAGTAATCATGTTATTACGCTCCTCCCATTGCATTGGGAGTCCTGCAGTGGCCGGGGTTTTTTAGCTTCGGGAGGTAACCTCCCTACTAGTCTGCCACGCCACGAAGAGGCAACACCCCATGTGGACGCCCCCAAGTTTCCTCTGAGACGCTCCGCTTCAGCGGACAGAGTACTATTTACTAACTATGTCTATCACTCACCACTCTATGTTAGTTGACTTAAGTTATGAGTAATTAATTACTAGTAATCCTAATAGCCTACTTCTGATACCTAGTCTAGGCTAGGACTAATAAGTCTTACTAATCCTAGCCAGACCTACACCTAGAAACTTCTGGACCAGAAGAGGCAACACCCCATGTGGACGCCCCCAAGTTTCCTCTGAGACGCTCCGCTTCAGCGGACAGAGTACTATTTACTAACTATGTCTATCACTCACCACTCTATGTTAGTTGACTTAAGTTATGAGTAATTAATTACTAGTAATCCTAATAGCCTACTTCTGATACCTAGTCTAGGCTAGGACTAATAAGTCTTACTAATCCTAGCCAGACCTACACCTAGAAACTTCTGGACCAGAGGCAGGTGACAGAGTTCGGGCCTCTTTCGACATATTTTGTGTTTAAAACATGTGCATATATTTTAAAAACTCGAAAAAGGGCGAGCTCCTGTCTAACTTGGGCCGCTTACAAGTGCCATGGTTGTCCCCCCTAGATGCGGGCCTGTCCTAGCAAGTAGTAGGCTACTAAAACTGTGTTACTTTATTTTACTAAATAAATATATCTATAGACCCTATATATTAAATTATATTATACTATTTAAAATTTATTATTTAGATTTAGTGTAGGCCTTAAAATATACTATGACAAATTAGCTTGGGCCTTTTGACTGTGACCAATCACCATGCCATGTAGTTCATGTAGAATTACAATGCTTATTGCCATTGGGTCATCTTTTAACTTTGTGAATGATGATTTCAGATTATATTTATAATTTAAAGTTAAAGGGAAAACAATTTATGTAAAAGTTAAGTTTTTATTTACATCATCTGCAAGAGCATCTGCTCTTATTGGTTAATATTAAGTTCATTTCCTTATTGCCTCTAACTTGAACTCTCTAATACTTTTAAATCCCAACAGTCACTGATTAGGGATCTATGGACCTACACTGCCATCAGTGATTAGTTACTTTAATCATGCTCTCAATCAATCCCTGTGGCTCTACAGGCCATCTAGGGCTTTGACCTGCCTCACCACATCCTTCCACTCAGACCTAACTGATGCTTTTCTTTTCCATGCTTGGATTCAAAGCTGATGCAGATATTTTTCCACAGCATCCATCCATCTAAGCCTAGGTCTGCCTTTGAGCTGTTTTCCTCTTTGGCTTTGGTGGTGCCCCCTCTTCACTCCTCTGTCATTTGGCATTCTTTCTAAGTATAAGTGTCTCGCCCAGAGTAGCCTGCCCTTTTTTATTTCTGGTACTAGCATGGGATCCTGATATAGTCTATATAATTCCTGGTTGGTTCAAATTCTCCATCCATATTCATCCTCTTTTATCAGTCTATTTTCTGGAGAACTTTTCTCTCCCATGTTTTTAATAGGTATTCTGCCATTTTTGTTAAGACTCCACTTGTGTATGTTGCAACTGATCTGAGTACAGTTTTATAAATAGTTTTCTTTTTTTTTTCTTTTAATGTTTTTAATTTAGTATTTTATGACTACTGAAGCATGCCCTACGCCTGGTGGATATTCTTTATTTTATTTCTGTTAGTAGGCCTACTTCATTTCTTTCTTTTATGAATCCTAGGTACTTGAATTGATTTACTTTTTCAAAAGTGAAGGTTTCTAATTTTAATGCTGTCATCTGTCTGTTCTTCTCCTAACATAGTCATGTATTTTGTTTTTTGGTTGTTAATTTTCAGGTGTACTTGTAGTGATGCGTCTTCTAATTCAATAAAAGCTTTTGATATGTCTTTACTAATTTTCCCTAACAGTGTTATGTTATCATATGCATATGCAAGATACTGAAGGGTTTGGTTGTAGAAAGTGCCTATTGTTTGTGGGTCTTGGGTTTCATTCAGAAAGTATCATGTTATTGTTCCTCAGGTGTCAATATGCATGCTTTTTTTTACTCACTCGAATTTTAGTTTAAATAGCATACAAGACAAAGTCTCCTTGTCTTAGGCCTTGTCTAATCTTAAATTCCCTTGAATATTCTCCTTGAACCTTGACTTTGTTTTTTGAGTTGTTTCAAATTACATTACATGTATCAGTCTTGTCAGTTTGTTAGGTATGCCAAACTCCTGCAGGGTCTCATATAGATATTTTCTGTTGAGGCTTTTATAGTCCACATAGAGTTGATGTACTAGGATATTATATTTGTAACATTTCTCTAATAGGCATCTGATGGAGAAAATCTGATCATTCTTTGATCTGTTTTGTCTGAATCCACATTAGTAGTCACCTAGTATTTGTTCAGTGTATGGTTGTAGTCTTTTAGCATTAGTTTTGTCTGTATTTTGTATGTTACATTTAATAAGGAAATTCATCTGTAGTTCTTCTTCTTCTTCTTATATTTGAGGTGCCCACGATCAATTTGTTGATCATTCTGGCTCCTGGTTTAAATTCAGAGTTTTCCTTCTCTTAGATGGGTTGCCGTCCAAGGCTAACGAGTCCCATCAAACCGGGGTGCTTGGGATGATTTGCTTTTGGTGGGGATTGAACTCCAGACCACCAGCTGTTTGGTTTGAGACCGTTTAGACCGCTCGGCCACCCAGCACCCTGATAGTTTGTGCATTGAAGTTTGGAACCTTTCTTGTTTATTGGGGTTATTAGTCATGTTTTCCATTTTTGAAATTTTCTCTTCTTGCCAAATTTTAGTTTATGTGTCTGAGTGTGTAGCTCTCTTCCTCCATATTTAATAAGTTCTGCTGAAACTCCAGGTGCTTTGTGACTTTTCACAGAATTGATTACTTCTGTAGTTTCTTCCAAAGTTGGGGAGTTTATAAAGGGTCGGTCTGGTCCTTCATTTGGTGGTTGATAATCTTCATCTTGTCCATTGCCTGCATTTAGTATTCCCTCAAAATATTTAGCCCACCTCTCCTGTTCTACTCACTAGCCAGCTCTCAAAGCTGTTAGTTTAAGTTCAATATCAAATAATATTATTTATTGGCTTTATGAATGATGATGTCTTAAGAGGTGGATTATAGCAGGTCAAATACTTTAAATAGAGTCTATTGCAAGTATTTCACAGAAAAATAAATAACCTTTACGATGTATCAAGAAATTTGGAAATACCATTCCCAACTGATCGAGAAGCTGAAATTGCACATGGCTCTCTCAGTGTTGATAAGGAGCCTAAACGTGGTGGTGTCAAGAAAACGATGACAGTTCATAATAACATAATGCACATGTGAGTTAAAATCCTTGTTTCATCACTTTTCTATCAGTTTTATTGCAAATAAATTAAGCTGTTTTAAAATGGTTGCACTGGGCTTTGGTTTAATAAGTTTAGGAGACAAAAACTGTGATTGCAAACATGTAAGGTGAAGCTTTATTTAAGATAAAACAAAGTAAAGCTGTCTTCAGCAGACATAACTTATACCTGTACAAAGAAAACTAAAGCCTGTGACAACTAATTTCCAATAGAAATAATTCTAAAGAAACTAGCTTAAGAAACACTAATTAATAAAAATAATGATGGGGGAAAGTAATGTGAATAACAACACATGGAAATAATTTTAGAGTTATATTAAATTATGAGTTAAATTAATGCCTTTATGATTAATTTTTTTTATAATAGACCATTCTTTTTTAAATTGTTTTTTGACAAATCAGACTGAAATGTGATATTTTTTTTTTTACATTCTTTACATTAGTAAATTTAACCATTTTTGTCACCATTGAATTCTATAATTTTAGTTATTTATTTTAATATAAGTAGGTCAAAACCCTTGATCTGATATTATGTTAATTTTCTTTTATTTCTCTGAGCATAATGTGCTATTTAATTCCTTTAACTATAAGATGGTTTTAAACAGGGCCGGCGCTAGGGGATTGGCGAAATGAGCGGCAGGGCTCTGTGCATTACCGTAGTATATTTTTAATATACCTAAGCCTACTAATAGTTCCTAATCCAATTTTTGGAGTTATTAGATAGTCAAATGGTCTGAAGGTCAGTCTGGCTCCCATACTATCCCTTCGAGATGAATCTCTGGAAGACCTCTGGGCGCATATCCTATAGGCAGATTATATAACGTCAACGACCCCGCAAAATTCAATTTGTCCAAGGCCCCGCACCCTCCTAGCGCCGGCCCTGGTTTTAAAAAAATGTTATAATAGGTTTTTCATAAGGTAGGGCTGTTTTGATGACTGAATTAAATTTCTGAATTTATTATTCTTTCAGACACTTTGCAGCTCCAGAGGCACGATTGCTGCGAGTAAGCATCAACTCTTTCTTTGATCACCTGAAACTTGTTGTAGAAACCTTGGAGCGATTTGGCCAACCAAGATAGCAAAATAATTGTATATTGCATCAGTTATGTGTAAATATCCCATTTGGCAATTAAGGAATTGTTTGGATGTTTTCTGAATAATAGCACAATAAATTGAAAACACTGAGCTTTTCATTGGGGTATAGTTTAATCCATAAGAATTTATTACCCTTATGAATAGAATTTAAAAAAAAAATTAAATTAACTGTAAACTTTCATTATCAGTATGAAGAAAGTTTCATTTTTCAAATTGTTTATAAATTATATCATTTTATTAACTTAAGTAGTATATTTACCATAAGAGCAAATAGACAAGCTTGTTTGCTGTTTTCACTAAAAATCTTATTAAATCCTATTGAGATTGTTAAAAGTGAATGCCTGAGGCTAGAATGCCATTAACATTATATGTCTTGTTAGAATAGATTTTTATGATGTTTTATTTGCTGGAAACAGAACATATAAAAGATTTTAATGAAGTCACAGAGTGTCACCAATTCATGCATATATATTAAATTAATTTGGCATTAAACTCATTAAGTAGTCATCTATAAATTGTCTCAATACTCTTTGACTTGTTGATTTTTTAAATGATTGTATCTGCATGATGGCAGCATATTTTCACCTGCTATGGTACTTATCTCATTGATTTGGGCTCCTAACCTCAATTGGAAGATGCAAGTTATTATAGGATTGGAAAAAAAAACATTATGCAAACCATTAAATATAAGTTCTTTATGTTTTTATACCTAAATTGAAATAATCATCTTTATATTGTGCACATCATTTTCTTGCAGAGCCCTAATGTTACAAAAATATTTCTAATAAAAGAAAGGGTTTTAATTATTGGAGGCTTTTATATTGCAAGAGTAGTCTTACTTTACTAAGGGCCTTGGTAGCATCTTTGCCTGGAATAAAAACATATCATGTCATTTGTCTACATAGATCTTTCAAGTCATTTACTAATGAAAGAATTATGAGAAGTCAATGATATAATGAATTAACCTAACCACTTCATACTTAAAACACAAAGTGATATTTCAACTCATGTCAACTCTGGGCTTAGTTCAAGGATGACATTTTTGACACGATGCAAATATCTGCAGCAGTTCAGAGCATGATTTTAAAAGATTGTTTCTATTCCGACATACCCCAGAGAAAAAGTGTGCTTTAAAGTTTAATATCTGCATTTACAAAAATATTTTCATTTCCCCTAAGCAATTATAAGAATTTCAGTAATTTCATCCCCTCCTTGACATGGCTGAAAACAGATTCTCAAACTATGTTAAAGTGAACTTACATGACGAGTTTTCATCTTTATACAATTTTCACTCCCAATTCTGATATTATATTTATAAGGTGAGTTTATTTTTATAAATATTATTTTAAAATAATTGACTTACTCTTTAAAAAAAAACTAAATAATAATTTAAAAACCAAAATACGAAGCTGTTTAGAATGTAAAATATTGATACTCTAACCAGAGGTGTACTTTGGACATAGGATATTTATTAAGGGGTCAAAAGTTGTGATGTGATTAAAATTTAAACAAGCAACTTTGACAGGAGGGGGCCTCCAAAAGTCAAGCGATGGCTAAGTAGCTAACAGAGAACATCATTCTTCTTGGTGAGCTTTAGAAATTGTTTGGTGGGGATGGTGCACAGCACTCTTGATCCCACGTGAACAGCGCAAATCTGGTTGCTGAAAATAAGTTGAGAATTATCATTTTAATCAACTAAACAAAGAAGCACTCATCAAAGAAAACAACCCTGTTTTTTTTTTGTTAGAGTAAAAGAAAAGGGGGGGGGCAGCAACATTGACAAGTGTTGTAAACAACGTCATTTATTCCCAAGATATTTCGTATTTCTGAGAGATCATCATTATCTTGCTGTCAAAGCGAGGGCAGGTTTCTCGCAAGAATTTATGTTCTGACGGTGCACGTGGACTCTTGCCCTAAAATGATGCTATTATTGTATTTTTCATCGAGAATTAACAGAACCTCAACCAATCAGAGTAGGTTAATGTCAACAGAGACAGATGGCATTAGAATACCGGTAACCTCAACCAATCAGAGTAGGGTAATATCAACGGAGACAGGTGACAATAGAATACCGGTAATGAAAACACCTTATGGCACCATTGATTAAAATCGCATTACAGTGTAAGTCTTGGCATGAAATCAACGTTTTGAACTTCTCCCCTTGTTGAACCAGCACAATTGTGGACAAACCCACCCCCATGCTTACGTACATATAAGAACCTTTCTCAACCTCCTGTTTCAATTTATATGAAGACAATTAAACCGTACATCAATTAAATGTAGTCATCAAAAAATAGTCATCATAACTGCGTGGACTCCACAAGATGACCGAGTGGACTAAATAAGACAACTGTGTGGACTAAATAAGACAACTGTGTGGACTAAATAAGACAACTGTAAGGACTAAACAAGACAAATGTGTGGACTAAATAAGACAACTGAATGGACTAAATAAGACAACTGTGTGGACTAAACAAGACAAATGTGTGGACTAAATAAGACAACTGCATGGACTCCACAAGATGACCGAGTGGACGAAATAAGACAACTTCGTGGGCTCCACAAGATGACCGAGTGGACTAAATAAGACAACTGCGTGGACTCCACAAGATGAATGAGTGGACTAAATAAGACAACCTTGTGGACTAAATAAGACAACTGTGTGGACTAAACAAGACAACTGAGGGGACTAAAAAAGAAAACTGAGAGGACTAAACAAGACAACTGTGTTGACTAAATAAGACAACTGAGTGGAAAAAACAAGCCAATAGTGTGGACTAAACAAGCTAAAGAGTTGACTAAATAAGACAACTGAATGGACTAAACAAGACAAATGTGTGGACTAATTAAGACAACTGTGTGGACTAAATAAGACAACTGATTGGACTAAATAAGACAATTGCGTGCACTAATTAAGACAACTGTGTGGACTAAACAAGACAACTGATTGGACTAAATAAGATAAATGTGTGGACTAAACAAGACAACTGTGTGAACTAAACAAAACAGCTGAGTGGACTAAATAAAACAACTGTGTTGACTAAATAAGACAACTGAGTGGACTAAATAAGACAATTGCGTGGACTAATTAAGACAACTGTGTGAACTAAACAAGACAGCTGAGTGGACTAAATAAAACAACTGTGTTGACTAAATAAGACAACTGAGTGGACTAAACAAGACAATTGTGTAGACTAAACAAGCTAAAGAGTGGACTAAATAAGACAACTGAGTGGACTAAACAAGACAAGCGTGGACTAAATAAGACAAGCGTGGAATAAATAAGACAACTGTGTCGACTAAATAAGACAAGCGTGGACTAAATAAGACAACTGAGTTGACTAAATAAGACAACTGAGTGGACTAAAAAAGACAACTGTGTGGACTAAACAAGACAAATGTGTGGACTAAATAAGACAACGGTGTGGAATAAAAAAGACAACTGTGTCGACTAAATAAGACAAGTGTGGACTAAACAAGACAACTGTGTGGACTAAATAAGACAACGGTGTGGACTAAATAAGACAACTGTGTGGACTCAATAAGACAAATGTGGACAAAATAAGACAACTGTGTCGAATAAATAAGACAAGCGTGGACTAAATAAGAAAACTGTGTCGACTAAATAAGACAAGCGTGGACTAAATAAGACAACTGTGTGGACTAAATAAGACAACTGTGTGGACTAAATAAGACAACTGTGTGGACTAAATAAGACAACTGAATGGACTAAATAAGACAACTGTAAGGACTAAACAAGACAAATGTGTGGACTAAATAAGACAACTGAATGGCTTAAATAAGACAACGGTGTGGAATAAACAAGACAAATGTGAGGACTAAATAAGACAACTGAATGGACTAAATAAGATAACTGTGTGGACTAAACAAGACAAATGTGTGGACAAAACAAGACCAATCAGTAGACTGAACAAGGCCAAAGAGTACTTATTAGCGGGAATGCTGTACTGAAATGGGTGGAGGGTGGAAGTGGAGTTCGCCCCGACCTGGCATTTAGTCAAGTCTCGTCACTCCGGATGTTGGCAGCCTGGACCAATATTTGATCTCTTTCGCTTTTTGGGGCTTGGTAAGGGGGGGGGAGTTTTTAATTTTTAAGGTGGGGTGGGGGACACATATATTTGATAAACAATGACTTAACGCGGTTTGGGGAATGGGGAGTCACCTAGGACCCATAAAATTATTGCTTATCAAAAATGAAAAAGGGGGAGGGGTGGGAATAGTGGGAAAGAAAGAAAGAAAATGACTATTTCTAGTACGTAATTTTGAGATTGTAGGGCATCAATTATCCATTCCTTTACGTTTGTCAGATCGCTGAATTCCGAGGGACATATTTTGTGGGCGTGACGGCTTTAGAAACCTGAAATGTCAGCGTCTGACGGCCACAAGATTTTCATATACTCCCGCGGTCTGCAGAAGTCTGCCGCGTCTCGCCACAGGCTGTAATCATTTTAAAACGTTTTTTCATAGAATTTCTCTCTCTCTCGCTTTCAGCCAAATGCTCCTTTGAACTTTCAGCACCAGCGTCGCGGAGAACAATATCCTCTGAACCTAGAAATATTTTATTTTGTCATTTTCTAGCAACCACGACTCAAGTTTTCAATTCAGGTTGCATTAAATAAAAATTATTTGAAGGCCTTTGCTTAAAATGATGCGAAGTTACCGTTAATAAATAGGCCTACACTATTTCTACGATTATTGCTGTAAAACTAACAAACATACCTAACTTATTCATATATAAATATATAGGACTTACATGGTGGGTCTATGGCTTTCTGGACAAATTTTTCTTAATGGAAATGTTAAATGGTATCGATCCTAGCTTTAACTTAACTACAACCAACTCCTGCACCCAATCGCCTCGATGATTTTTGGGTTTAACTCTTTTCCACTCAGGTGTGTGAAAGGGTCCACGTGAGCCACTGAGATCGTTTGACATTTTATTTTTGGATTCACCACTGTGCCATTGACTCTGCTAACCTCCGATCCCTTGTTTTTTGTTTGTTTTTTTTTTGGCGAGCGAAATGAATTTCAATGTGGCTGTCAACTACGGTCAACGCTCTAGGCAACTAACATAAAGTAGCTATATATAGGTTGTAGATATTTCAAAATGTTCATTGTTGGTCTCATTAGAGTAAGTGAATATACGTCCACCACGTGTCTTAACAACCCCCCTCGAGGCAGATAAAGAAACCTTTTCAGTAAGGTGATTTATGTTCTAAATTTCAAATGACTAGGAGACTTTTGAGACATCCTTTATATTAAATCCGCTTTTGTTTGTGGTTGGCTGGCTGGCAAAATATTCAGATGGCTAATTCACTCACTTCCCGTCAATGTATCGAGCTGAAGCTTGGTACATAGAATTGTTGTCGATGACAACAAATTTTTAAAAAATTCAGCCCCCACCCCCCTTAACCCAACCTCAAAAAATTAATTTTTCAAGAGGAACATGAAGGAAAATTCCCGATAACTGCGCTAAATGAGATTCTGTTTTTAAAAAAAATATCGCAAGTGCGTTTGGTGCGTAATATTTTCTTTTCTTTTTTCTGAAATAGATGGTGAAATAAATTTGTGGTTTAAAAGAAGGTGGGTCATTAGAATATTAATGTAGTTCATGAACGTGAAAAAATGTGAGGTGCGAGCCTTGGGGGGGGGGGGGGGGGGGGATGGATGGGAACTAAT